TAGCAAGCACCTAGAAATATTGTGAATGAACTCCTAGGATATCGTACCCATCATAGGAAATGTAAGAGCTTGTCACTTCTAACAGGAATGACAAACTGGTGTTCCGCTTTTGCTGCATTTCTTAACGGACAGGCATTGTAATAAATATTAGACTAAAAAGGAATATTTTTAATCAGTGCATTGATAAACTTTGGTAATGCAGAATGAGGCAAAACGTATGTGCAGTGTTTATATGTCTGTAACTGCATTTGTGTTGTTCTGTTGAGCTTGGAAATTAATATGCTAGGAAAAGGGTTTCTGAATGTCTCTATAAAATGGTACTTTACAGCTTACGAAGAACCTGTGCTAAATAGCAAGGATGGAAAGGAGAATGCTGGTTCATTGGCATTTGTTCTATTTATTGTATGTTGCCAGTAGAAATAGTTTATCCTTCTCCCAAAGGTACCCTTTAGGCCAGACAACAAGGACTTCTTTTTATTGACCTTTAATGGTCTGTACAGACAGTTCTATTCCATCTTCAGCCAGTTAGGTGGTTGCTATTTTTCCATTTGACTATCTGCCCAATAACATTCACAAAGACTTGTATGGAGGGATGGAAAGGTTAATATGAACCAACCCTAAAACAAGACCTCAGTGTAATTTTAAATGCTTGTGGTTTTGATGTGTTATTACTGCTTTCATAACTTCTGGTTAAAGATTAGTAGGAGAGGTTGGCAACAGATCATTAAGATTACCAAACTGTATACTCAAATTATCTCAAAATAGAACGCTAGCAATTTTCAGTAGCCTAGAAAACATGGAAAGCCAATAATGCTCTTCGTGTAACTGTGTCCTTATCCTGTGAGAATTTTTAGTTTGGTCACCTTTAGAATTTCTGTCAACTTTCCAAATCACTGTAAGAAAAACAGTTTCTCTGTCCCCCTTTTCCGCAATCTAACATCGCTTCTTGCTTGCCTTTTAGTTGTCGTCACGCTGCCATAGCCAGCTACTTTGGAGATGGCATTCCCCAATGCAACAGAAGCTGTGATTACTGTAAGAATCCAGCAGCAGTGAAGAAGCAAGTAGAAGCATTACAGCACAGTACCACGAGCTGGAGTAGAACCTACATTGGACCTTCTGCTTCATCTTGGAATGCCTGTGACCTTGATCTATATGAAGGAGGAAAGCGAGGCTATGGTAGCTTTGAAAGGTAGGCCTGTATTAACTGACTGGCAAGAGTTGTGGCTGATGTTGTTAATGACAAATAAGAACTGCTCTTCTTTTCTCCTTTTGGTGGCTTTGACGATGCTCCTGGCTAAGGAGGACAAAAGTTGAGAACTTTGTGTTCAGTGGACTGAAATAATGATCTCAGAAACCACAGCTTCTTTATGAATCTGCCATTTCAGTAGATTGCACAATTATGTTTTGTAGCTTAGTTGTTGAGTCAATTTGGAAATCAAAAGGATTGAGAATAAAGAGGATAAGAAATATATATGGGGTTAAAATTGTGCGGAAATGCTTTTGCAAGTTTAAATGTAGTAATTCAATTCTCTTAATACAAATGTGAAACTGATTCTCAGGATGCTTTGAGTTGTGCAAACCTGTTGCAAATAATGCCAAAAGCAACAGCTGTTCTTCTCCCTTATGGGGCTGCGCAATTATTCTGCTTTATTTCCACTTCCTTACTTAAGAGAAGGCTGGAGAATCTTAAAAACAGAATAAGGAGATGCCCACACTTCCCAAGTTGACTTTAAGTTATCCTCAAAAATGCTCACAAAAAAATGACAGTTTTCTTAGAACAATCTGCCAGCTCTTGTTGGTAAAATGATTTCATAAGTTGGAAAATTAAGCATACATTCAGCATCACTCTCCTCCTGTGAGTGAGATCCAAGCATTTATCTTAACAGCTTACTCTCGTATTTGTTTGTAATATTTCTACAGCATACCAGATCAAAGTTAAGGGCATTTTCTTAGATTTCATAGTTAGACAAAATTGTTTCCAGTAATGGGGCAGGCAGTATGTGACCTTCCAGATGTTGTTGCAATGCAGATCCTATCAACCTTCATCAATTGTCATGCTGACTAAGTTAATGGAATTCTAAAAGGCCTGAAATTTAACATGTTGCCTACCATGGTTCCATACTTTATTCATGGGATGCTATTAGTATCCTTAAGTCTCATGAACAAAAGTCATTTAGCTTATGTAGTAAAACTATAATCTTGTTTATGCAAGGGTCCACAATCTTGATGCTTAATCCTAGTGCCTAGAATAGGGCTCCTTGATCCTAATTTAAGATCTGATATAATTTTACATGACTCTCCCGTTGAACTTCCATCTCTTTCTGAGTTATTATTCAGACATGATGAAGATACCAGGAGTGTGGGTGAAGTTAATGAGGACAGTCAGAAAAAGGAATGGAACATTTTCTACAAGAAGCAGATGAAGTTGCGCAAGGTAAGTGGAAGGGCTTTCTATAGAAGACAGAGGCTCACCTATACATTAGAACTATGCTTGGGTTGGGTAGGTCATGCAATCTTTATATGTTTCCTAAGAAGTAAATCACGCTGAGTTAAAATGAATCTACTCCCAAGTAAATAAGACTGCAGTCTAAATATAATTGATCTAAAATATCAAGACTGAACCTTCTACAAATGCTGATAGGAAGAAAGCCATTCAATTGCTAAAAGGCTGGATATTATTTTGGCTTTTCTCTGTTACTGAGAGAATTATATTTTGGGAGTTCCTTTAGTGCTTTATCACAGATAGAGGCATCCTTTTGGTGACTGGAGGCTGCACAGCGCATGTGGGTGAGGGGTGTCCAAAATGGGCAGAACCATGTAGTGTACTTGAACAGGACTGGAATTTTGTCTTTATTTTGTTTTGTTTTAAAATTGAAACTGTTGAGAATTGTTTTAGGGCTTCCAATGCAAACACCAGGCATCAAAGACAGTAAGTTTATATTTAAAAATGCAAACATTAAAGTGGACACGGTTTTAGAAAATCTTACATAAAACCACAGTGATCTTGTGAATGTTGGCCATTTCACAAGAGTTTGCCCATTTTCAAAATACTTTATTTATTGTTATTTATTCAATTCTTCTAATGTATTTACAGATTAAAGATTAGTTAAAGCAATTAAATTAAAAATTAAATTAAATTTTAATGTAATTGTTTATGAATATTTTTGTAAATATATAATGAAGAGCCAATTAGGAGAATCACAGTTCTTGTATTGCTAGCCCTCACACTACATTTCTCATGCATTTCCTACTTCAAAATAGTGGGAAACCTTGCCACTGAATTTGGGCAGTATGGTGAGAGGTATCCTACAGTGGGGCAAAAAAATATTTAGTCGG